TATAATTTTTAACTGGTAGCATAATTTTTAATATTTTTGCTTCACTTAACCAAATTACTACAAAGGACATGGTTTCATACACAAATATAAAACAATGAAGAAGAAAAATAGAACTCAATCTACAACAAGGAATGATTTAGCTATTGAAGTGATCAGATGTGCATACTAATCCCTACAGTGGTGACAGATTTGAATAGGAATCACTAAATTCCACCTGCAGGCACATCATGTCAAGTATGTATGAACAATAATAATTTCTTGACAGTTGTACCAAGGGAAATATCCCAAGATTCTTTGTACAAGTCAGAACAATAACAGATGTAGTTGATTTATTGCTAACTAAAGGATTAATGTCAAAGAGTTTATTAAATTTTATTGTTTCTTCTAAACCTAGAAATAGGTTAGTTTCTCTAAAAGGTACATGTGTAGATAAGGTACTATATATAGACAGAAACAGAAGGAGATGGCAACCATAGTTTGCTTTGCTCAAACATAATTCTCTTCTTTTAGATACAAGATTAGAATCTAAATTATTTTAGTTATGATGAATTATGCAAGCATATTGAAAATAATCACAAGTTTAGTTAATTAAATGTGTCCAAAAGGCACAATTTAATTGATTAGCACAAAGAAAAATATATGATTTTCTATAATAGCTAGAGTGTTAAAGGAAAGACCTATTTAATTAAAATTATAATTCTGTGCTACCATGATAAAATATTGCAGTAACTACTTTAATCAGAGACTGCAAATGACCAAGATGAAAATACCACTGACAACTTTTCAGTACTGAAAATTTTATAGAAGGCTAGGAAAAGTTACAGGATAGGGGGAGGTAAGAAGGTAGAAATATTACTATTAGTCATTTCAATTAGTTACTAGACTTAGGAATTTCTATGCCTCTAATCATTTTTCTCCTAGGTAAGGTGTTTGGCATGTGTTTACTGGGAAGAACTTAGACTGGAGGTAGGTAGAAATGCATGTACTAACCAGAATTATCATTTATAAGCTGTATAACTATCTATTAGGCCTTAGGCTCCATATATATTAACATAAAAAAGAATGATTTCTGTTTAATTATAACATTAAGAAATTCTGAATGTTTCAAATTCAAGCCATTTTAATCTTCATATGCTATACATACAAAATGTATAAGGATAAAAAAATCGAACAAACCAAATAGCTAGTTGCAGCCTGTAGGAGAGGCCAAAATATTCACTAAATTTGATAAGTCTAGTGAGGTCAACTTTTTACTTTTCTGTTAACTTACTACTACCCAAAAAATTGCCTTTCTCTAGAATAGTAATAACTAAGAACCTTACCATATCCCAGCTATGCATTTCTACTCTCAAAGAAGTTTGAAACTGAACTAAGTTCAAAGATGAAAAAGTTAGTTTCAGTGAGCCTGACAGAGTTGCTTTTCTTATATCTTCCTATCCTTGATAATTAATGTTTGCACCAGCTGTAAACTACAGAGCAGACCAACGGAAGATGTAACCTCAAAACTAAAGCTCAGTTAGGTTATAGACTAAGAGGATCACTTTAAAATTTGAAGTAAGTTACAAAGAAAAACGTGTTGATATATAGAATAAGGCTCCTAAATCATTCTAATGCAGCCAAAACTCACATCACAAGAATATTTTAAATCCATATAGAATCTTTTAAAAGCACTTTATAGGAATTACCCAATTAGCTTTCCTGATCATTTCTGTGAAGTGTCAGATATTATCTGATATTTTCCAAAGGAGGCAAAAAGAAACAAGGGAACTAACTTTAGTCACTTTGTCAATGATATAGCTTCCTATACTACATCTAGTTGTTGTTGTTTTTTTTAAGATTTTATTTATTTATTTCTAGAGAGAGTGGAAAGGAGGGAGAAAGAGAGGGAGAGACACATCAGTGTGAGAGAAAAATATCAATGGGTTGCCTCTCATAAGTGCCCCAACAGGGGACTGAACCCACAACCCACACATGTGCACTGACCAGGAATCGAACCTGCGACCTTTTGCCTTATGGGAGGATGCCAACTGAGCCACACTGATCAGGGCCAAATCTAGTGTTTTAACTTGTGAAAAAACAGGTGGTCATCCCCATGAGAAATTATATTAACTAAAATGTCTCAACCTTTTGAAAAAAAATTTGACTTCGCACAAGATGTGAGTGCAGAGACAGTCTATTGTCTTGCTTAGAATTTCACCTGATAACTTAGTTACGAATTTTCCATACTGCAGGCACTCAGCATGTATTTGCTCAATGAATAAAAGCTATTAATGATAGCTAACAATTACTTGAGCTCATATATCAGGTACTGTGTTGAGTGCATTACACATACCATTTTATTTAATTCTACCAACAACTCAAAGAGGCAAGTATTTTACTGATGAGGAAACTAAGGCCTAGGTTAAGTAACTTGCACAAGATTACAAAGCTAGCCCAATTTTCCACCTTGTTTAAAGATGATCATTGTAGGAAAAAAAAAAAGACTTGGAATGAGAAATTCTCTCAATATTCTATCTCCTCTACCACCAGATCTTAAGAGAGAAGGGAAATTACTTGCTGATATGTGTCACTCTTACAATACCTATTGTATAGTACCTTAATCACATTACTGGTTATCAAATGTTCCTGAATAAAATGTAAAATTGTGTATACAAATTAGGCTTTATTGTCCTCAACTGTAAAATGGAGATAAAGGCGCCTCAGTTCACCAAGTTTGGTCCCTGGGTCTGGCAGCTTTGTCAGAAATGCAAATTCTTAGGTCCTACCCAGACCTACTGAATCAAAAACTAGTGTTCTAAAAAGTCTTTCAGGTGATTCTCATGCACACTTAAGTTAAAAACAAAAAACAAAAAACAAAGCAGGTCTACATTACTTATAAGATAATTACAAGAATTAGCTGAGGTTACCAATGTGGAGCAGGGTGGGCCTGGTTAGTACTTGAATGGGAGACCACCCGGGAGTACAGGAATAAATCTAACCAAGGATGTAAAAGACCTGTACTTGAAAAAATTATAAGACACTGAAGAAGAGACAAAGAAGTTGAAGCAACATACCACATTGGATATGGTATGAAACCTTTCTATCCATAGGTAGAAAGAATTAACATCATTAAAATGTCCATACTACCCAAAGCAATCTATCAGATTCAATGCAATTTCTCTGAAGATTCCAATGACATATTTCACAGTACTAGAGTAAATATTTCGAAAACTTTGTATGAAACCACAAAAGGCCCCACATAGCAACAGCAATCCTGAGACAGAAGAACAAAGTTGGAGGAATCATGCTACCTAATATGAAACTATACTATAAGCTCACAGTAATCAAAACAGCATGGTACTCACATAAAAACAGACACACAGATCAATGGAACAGAATAGAGCCCAGAAATAAACCCACACCTTTATAGTCAATTAATATTCAACAGAGGAAGACAAGCACATACAATGGGCTAAAGATAGTATATTCAATAAATGGTGTTGGGAAAATTGGACAGATATGTGCAGAAAAATGGAACTAAACTACCTTCTTAAACCCCACACAAGAATAAATTCAAAGTGGATTAAAGACATAAATGTTAGACCCCAAACCATAAAAATCCTAAAAGAAAACCTAGGCAGCCAAATTTTGGACATAGCTTATAACAATATTTTATCAGATAGATCTCCCCAAGCAAGAGGGAAAAAAAGAAAAAAAATAAATAAATGGGACTACACCAACCAAAACATTTTTGCACAGTAAAGGAAATCATCAACAAAATAAAAAGGAACCCGCAAAATGGGAGAAGATATTTGTCAATACATCTGATAAGGGATTAACATCCAAAATTTATAAAGTACTTACGAAACTCAACACCAAAATAAAAGACAACCTAATTAAAAAATGGCCAAAGGACCTGAACAGACGCTTCTCCAAAGAGAACATACAGATGGCCAATAGACATTGAAAAGATGTACAATGCCGCTAATCATCAGAGAAACGCAAATTAAAACCACAATGAGATATCCCCTCACACCTGTCACAATGGCCATCATCAATAAATCAACAAACAACAAGTACTAGTGAGGATGTGGAGAAAGAGGAACCCTTTTCCACTGTTGGTGGGAATGCAGACTGGGGCAGCCACTGTGGAAACGAGTATGGAGATACCTCGAAAAACTAAAAATGGATCCACCTTTTGACCCAGCGATCCCACTTCTGAGAATATATCCGACAGACCCCAAAACAGTAATTCAAAAGAACATAAGCACCCCTATGTTCATTACAGCATTATTTACAATCGCCAAGATATGGAAGCAGCCCAAGTGTCCATCAGTAGATGAGTGGATACAACAACTATGGACATTTACACAATGGAACACTACTCAGCCATAAAAAAAGAAGAAAGTTTTACCCATTGTGGCAGTATGGATGGACCTGGAGAACACTATGCAAAGTGAAATAAGCCAGTCAGAGAAAGACAAATACTATATTATTTCACTCATAGGGGAATCCAGTAAACTAACACAAGCGAAATAGAGACAGACTCATAGAGAGCAGGATGACAGCTAAGGGAGGGGGTAGGGAGTGGAGGGGTTGAGCAAAAAGGAAAAAGAACTCATGGACATGGACAACTGTGTGGAGATTGCAGGGGGGAGGGGGTACAAGGGGTCTACACAGTAATGGAAAAAATACAATATAAAAAATCATTAAAAAAATAACATGGAATCACTCTAAAAAGTGAAAAGTATATCATCACCATCACCATTAAAAGAGTAAATTTCACTCCTTTGAAAAAGCTTAGTGATTTTGCTAAATCCAGATGAAAACAATCAGAAATGGAATAGATCATGAAACACTTCTTAAATAATATATTGTTCTAGATATCTGGACGATGTACAGCATTCATAGATCCAAAGAAAAAGATGACCATGAGCCATAAAGTTGTCCAAAGAAATCTGATAATCTGGTTATGTGGCAGTTAAACCCAGAGAACTTGACCAGTTGCACAAGCTTCTTACCTGACCAGTGTCCAGTGGAGATGCCAGATCTGTCCGTGCAGGTCTCACTTACAGGTCTAAACACAGTTTCCCATCCACCAGTAGCATAGCGCCAGTTCTGAGATTCCAAGATAAGTGTTCGCTGGGTGCCATATGCAATCATGAAGCAGTAGACCACATGATGGAGTTGACAGCCATAGCCACAGCCTTTGTTGATATTACACACTAGCTTCTTGGCTTTGCTACAGTCCTTGGGATTCTGTAAGGGAGAAAGAGAAACAAAGGTGAGGATAAGCTGTACAGAGCAACTTCTCTTCAAAGGTGATAAGTGCATAAATCATGTAAGACAGGATTGATCCAGTATATTTTATAAGGCAAAGAATCCAGCTTTAAAAATAGAATTTCAAAGAAATTGTATGTGCATAGTTAGGGAGATGGCAGTAAAAAAGAACAGTTACTTTGGAAACATCACTAAACAAATGTGAAATTAAGAAGTTACATTTTAAGGAATACTCTTTTCACTTCTCTATTATGTAGAATATGTAAGTGTGATCATCTCTGAACTCAAAGTTGCATACATTGAGATTTTTATGAAGGAGGAAAAACATTTATTTACTTTAGCTTCAATCCAGCATTCTGAGTGTACCTTCCCTGATGAAACTCAAACCATCTTGAAGTAAAAATTAAAATATACCTATTAATTCCACCTATCTCCAGAGTTCTAGATATGATAAACAAAATCATTATGTAAGTAAAGCCACTAAGTAAAAAGATTATCTGAATTCAACAATTACAAAATATCAGTCATGGGATTTTAAAAAAACAATTTTGATAACTACTAGTAATTTTCACAATAAAATGTAGAACACATTCTATATTAACTGTCTTGAGAATGTGATATGCCACTTAATCAGAAGGTTCATTTCCTATATGTATATTTACTATTCGTATATCTGTATATTTCTATTCATCATCTTATGATGGGTACAAAGTAATCAAAACACTTAATACTACCTAACAGTGGGCACAATGAGCTTAGCTACTGTGAGAATTTCTTTTTTCCATTCTAACATCAATTCTGCTGTAATTCATAGGAGCTGTTGGTAAATATCCCTAGGCATCTTAGTTCTTCAAATAAAAATTTGTTTTGACAAGGAGTCCTTAGCCTCAGAGGTTTTTCAAGCTGTTTTGTCTGAAAGGGAAGGGAAAGAATGGGTGCCTTAAGGAACAGAATCTTTTCTCCCAGAAAGCAAAAAGCAAAGTAACTAGTTCTCAATTTATTCGAGCCTTGAATAAAGCAATCGCCAAATCACAAATCTCCCACTATTTTCTAAGGATATTATCTGTCCTGTCAAGTAGAGAGATCCCTAAGAACAAAAGCTAGGACAGTGAGGCCATAAAATGTGTCTGAAGGAAAAGCTGAGAAGAGAAAATGCAACAGTTTCTTTCAGAAGAGGTTATGTTTCACATTCCAACACTGCAGGCTCGCCTTTTTATATCAAAGCAGAACCTACACCAGCAATTTTCAACCTTTTTCATCTCATAGCATACATAAACTAATTGCTAAAATTTTGCAGAGCACCAAAAAAATATTTTTTTGCCAATCTGACAAAAATATAGGCATAATTTTTATTCATTCACAACAGAGAGCTATTGTGTTGGCTGTTGTCATTTTTTTATTTGACAATTTAAGGGAAAAGAGGCCAGTTCCCCTGACTAAATAGTCAGATGTTGCATGTTTTAAAAATTCTTACAGCAAACTGGTTGAAAATCGCTGGTTTAGACCATCAAAATCCTTCCAAAGAGTTAGAGTTTTATGATTCGAGGAGAGTCCAGATAAAATTCAGCAAGAATTGGTCAATACTATCTCTACAGTCAAGTGGTAGATTTGCTGATTCTTTCCTCTTAAGACTCTGAACTCATAGAAGACTCTTATGACAATAAGCATTCCCATTCCAGTTGTTATGGCCACAAACTATTTGAGAGGAACAGAGGGGTATGATATTATGTGTACAGAGAGACCAATATCATTTACTTTCTGTACAACATTATACAATGACCCTGGAAATAAACATCATTCTGAAACTGATCTGAAGCTTTATGATTAACTCAACAAGAAAGCAAATAAATGTTATAGAATGGTACACTTGAAAATTTTATAATTTTATTAACCAATGTCAACCCAATAAATTCAATTAAAAAAGAAAAAAATTAAAGAACACTATCATTTGTCAGATTTTTCATGTTTTCTGTAAGAAATACAGCATTAAACATCTTTTAATATCTCTAAAACTCATATAAATGAAAAAGAAAATGTCCTTCATATAGTTTTCAATAAACTTTTTCTTTTAGAACAGTTCATAGATGTACAAAATTATTGCAAAGATAGTAGAGATCCCATATACCTCATTCCAGTTTCCCCTATTATCATCTCTCACATTAGTCTTCATGTTTTTTAAGGAAAAAAAAGAGTGAGGGAATAATAAAAACATCTGACCTTTAGTTTTAAAACTGTAGATTTATTTAAAAGACAACTTCCTTCTGCATTTAAGGAGAGCATATATACTTTTTTTTTTTTTAATTTTCTTTTTAGAGAGAGGGGAAGGGAGGGAGAAAGAGAAGGAGAGAAACATCAATGTGTGGCTGCCTCTTGTGCGCTCCCTACTGGGGATCTGGCCCACAACCCAGGCATGTGCCCTGACTGGGAAATGAACTGGTGACCCTTTGGTTCACAGACTGGCACTCAATCCACTGAGCCACATTAGTTGGGGTTGTGTTTCTTAACAAAAGAGTTAAACCACAGCCTTTATTATATCACTTTGGCACTGCTAGGATTTAGAGGTTTCCACTGCCTTCACTTAATAAATTAATAGTTATCATAAGTTAATGATGTAATATTACAAAATAGTACTGATTCCACAGCTTTTACATTAAATCATTGATAAAGCCTTTTGCTATGACTATTTACACTTTCCATACACACAAGCAGAAGTCTCCTCAGAGGAAAATTTTCCAGTCACAATGTAATTTCCCTCACTTCTCTGCCCAGTAACTACAAACCAAAACATTGTGCAAAAAGGCTAAATTAATAAAAAACAACAACACACTTACTCAAATAAACTAAACATAATATCGCCAAGCATCTCTTGCAAAGAGTAAATATTTAATAAGCTATTATTAGTTCAACTGAATTTCATGTACACAGACAAAAGTGATGTCATCTTTTGGTGGGGAGAACACTTAAAATCAACTCTTAACCAATTTCAAGTGTACATTACAGTATTACTACTGTCACCACGCTGTACATTAATCTCTAGAGTTTATCCCACATAACTGAACCTTTGTACTCTTTGAACAACATCTTCCCATTTCCTCCACCTCCCTGCCCCTGGTAACTACTGTTCTACCCTTTGTTTTTATGAATTTGACTCATTTAGATTGCACATGTAAGTCAGATCATGCAGTATTTGCCTTTTGTTATTCCATTTAGCATAATGTCTTCCAGGTTCGTTTGTGGGGTCATAAATAGCAAGATTTTCTTCAATTTTATGGCTGAATAACATCCCATTACACACACACATACACACACACACACATACATTTTCTTCATCCATTCATCCATTGATAGTGTGTCACATAGGTTGTTTCCATTATCTTGACAATTTGTGAATAATGTGACAATGAACATGAAGGTGCAGATATCTTTTCATGACAGTGATTACATTTTCTTTGGATATATATACTCAGTGGCGGGACTGCTGTATAATATAGTAGTTCTGTTTTTTTGAAGGAACTTCTATACTGTTTTCCATAATAACTGTACCAACTTACATCCCACCAACAGTGCCTGAGGGTTCCCTTTTCTCCACCTCCTCAACACTTACCTTTTTTCATTTTGATAATAGCCATTCTAACAGGTGATACCTCATTGTGGTTTTGATTTGCATTTCACTGATGCTTAATGGTCTGTTGAACATTCATATGTCTTCTTTTAAAAAATACCAATTAAGGTCCTAAGTCCATACTGGGTATTGTTGTTGTTGTTGTGTTTTTGTTTTTAGGATGTTGGTTTTTGTTTGTTTGTTTTGCTATTAAGTTTCTTATATATTCTTGATGTCAGCCCTTTATTAAATATATGGTTTGCAAATATTTTCTCCCATTCCATAGATTGTCTTCTCATTTTGTTCACTGTTTCATCTGCTGTGCAGAAGCTTTTCAGTTTAATGTAGTCTCATTTGTTGATTTTTGCTTTGGTTGCTCGTGCTTTTGGTGTCATATCTAAAAAAAACCACCACCAAGACCAAGGTCAAGGAGCTTTGTCCCTATGTGTTCTTCTAGTCTTTTTATGGTTGAAGAACTTACATTTAAAGACTAAAAATCCAAATCCTGAGGATTTTTCCAGCTCCTCTGTAACAACATTCCTTCTTTAGAGAAGAGTTAAGCCATAGATAGCTCCAGTTTCCAATAAAGAGAGGTCAATAAAAACCGAAAGAACAAGCCAGGTAACTTAAATTTCACCGTGCTCTTTGTGTGCTCTAATCACAACACTAAATAATTTTTAATTTGTTCATTTAAAAAAATTGCAACATATAGCTTTGTGTTGGTAATAAAGAAAAGATTCACTAACAATGTAGTGAAAGCATTTCATCATATTGGAAATAACCTGATTTTATTTCTCTAAAATTATTTTCAAACCCAAAGCAAAAAAAGGTAATGAAGCAAATATGAGAACTGAAATACTGCATAGTGGTAATTAAAACGAAAACTCTGGGCATAGTTAATAATCAAGAAAGAGAAAGTTAAAAAGCATTCTCAATTTCAAAAGCCAAGACCAGAAATTGTCTCTTAACATATTTAGCAAGAATATTTTCATAGCAAACTTTAGATAATATCAAGGTGTCCATTCCACCGCTCTAGCAGATAATAGTTGGTTGCAAGTAGTAAGGACAACACAATAGCTGAGGCACAAGTAGGCTACTAAATGCTTCAGGAAATCAATCTCCCTGTGGGTATTTTATAGAACTTTAAGTGTGAAAACTTAATGAAGAAAAGATACTGAGATACACAGCTTACAGACTGTTACCTGTCAGACTGAAGCAAAGGCAGACAATTACTATGCAGTTATGGAGGAGGAAAGCTTATCTTCATAAGCACAGCCATGATTGGCCTGCACTTCCAAGACTTCAGTTCTTTCCTGAGAAGTCTCTACTGAACATTTTAAAGCCATTTTAAAAAAGAAGAAAATTTTACAAATTCAGT